TTATTACAAACAGCTAAATGTATCACTGTTTGTCATCTGCCACTGCAGTGATGCAATGAAGTCCATCTCACGTGGTGGAAGAAGAAGAGGAGGGAAGAACTGGAAAGCACAGAACAATGTAGAACAGCTTCCAGGCCCTATCTCACTTCAGCTCCTTAAAACCTTTTTGTTAAAATGCATTGTGCAGCATCAGGAAAACAAGTCAAATTTTTATGATAGAAAATTAGATTTTTTTTTTTGTGCCTGTTTAATATCAGCCATGAACATTGGCCATTCCAGAACAGCCAGCCACTGATCCAGAAGAAAAATCTTCAAATGAGAGAATGTTTTATCTCGACATGAAGCACCCCGCAACAATAGTTTTTTGATTTGAGACCCTATATTTTAAGGCATATCCAAGAAATATTTAGGGGCTTAACTGACCCTGAGAAAGTTGAGAAATGAGTCACTGAAACTAGAACACCTGTTATTTATGCACACAATTCGTGGCCCAGCTGCAGGTAGAATAAAAAGGCTCAATTCTAGTTGCAAATTCAAAGTATTTAAACATCTACTTACACATGCATTAGGTAGATCATAAGCAGTAATCAAATCTATTTATTTCTTTCTCAAAATATTTGGATGCATTTAAAATTATAATTATTTCTTCTCCTGCAGCACTGTCACACTGTACTACTTACAAACAAGTGTAAACCGAAAAGTATTAACACTATAATGTTAATATTAATAAGCAGATACCTGGAAAAAAAAAAGGATAGATTTTTAAAAGTAATTAAAGTGAGACAATCTAAGGACACCATTTTAAAAGCCTGTAGAATTTATTAAGAAACACACATCCATAGAGTTTGAAACTAGTTCACAGAATATAATTGAAAATTTTCTCCTTGGCAAAGCTTGCTGTTTGGAGTAGAGACCATATACCTTTCTTTGTGTTGGCATCGCATCTATCATGCTGTGGAATGCTAAAAGAAAATTTTAAAATGGTGCAACAGTCTCGAGTAGTCAAAAGGGCTGTTTTCACTGATTTCAAAAGGGTAAAGTTTTCTCTTCTGTTTTTCTAATTCTATAGAAGTGATATACTCTAATGCTAAATGAGTTTTCCAGAGGCCTATTTTAATATCATAAAAGCATAGCTAAAATTATACTGCCACATTTATTACAGAAATAAGTATGGGTAGGAAGCAGTTAAAAAAAATAGGCAAGCCAACTCAGAAAAGCTTAAGCCACTGAGTCCCTCTTATGACTAATCTACGTTTCAGATACCTTTTACTTGTATACCCCTTTTGCTTTAACAAAAAGGATAAATTTAAACTACAGAGCTGGGCTGTGTTCCATTTCCCCTCTACTGTTTTAAGTAAGATATCCAAATTCTTTCCATTTGTCATGGAGCATTAAGGGCATATTTTCATCATGGATTATATAGTATCAGTTGGTAATAAGCCATGTTGTGATGGACCACAAAACATCATATAACCTGGAGCAAATTTCAGATGTATGGGAGAAAGTCTAGTTGAACAACGAACCATGAAAATCTAGGGGAAGCTAGGCCTCTTTGCCTACAATTAAAGCATGCAGCAAATTTGTTCCACCAACAGGTTTTCCTGTGTTCAGTGATTGACAAGGTTTGTTCAACTTCTACAGCACTGTGTGTACTAAAGTTTGTGCATGAAATTACCACATATGGATTAGAGAGATGCTCTGCAAACTGAGAATACAAAAGCGATTAAGCAAATGAGGCAAAACCCAAGGATCTAGTTTACATGCCTTTATGTTTATATTTATATTCCTCTCCTTAGCAGGAGACAGTACTTTTTTTGACCTCCAAATCAGTACTTGATTGAATTAATTAGCCCCTCCGATAAGTCTGAGAAAAGCCTTCCATCAACAGGAGATGCACCTTCTCCCGCTGCCCTGCCACCAGCAGCACCACACACACCGTGTCCCGAGCTTTTCCCCAGCTTGATGCCAACAACCACTTTCTGCTGGGTATTCAGTTCCTTCACCTTTTCTGAGCATCTGGGAGAGTCCTAGGGATAGCTGGGGTTTTGTAATGAAGACTTTCATCCTTAGGGTTTTCTCTGAAACTACTGACTTGTTTCAAATCAGCAATTAAATTAGAATAATTTTCTTAGTCAGATTGACTCAGGCCAGACTTTGAATCAGTAGTCGCTGTGTGAAAGGTATGAAAGGTGAAATGATATTACCAGCTCACTGGTAGTATGTTGTCAATACATCCTAGATATTTCGAAGTCACTTACTCATGATACCGTCTATAATGACACAGGAGATGTAAAAAGATGCACTTTAAGTAGTTGGTTTCTGAATGTTTTGGAGCAGCCATCTGTTTCTCTGTGCAGGCTTTATGTACATCTAATAAATCTAATAACCTCACAAAGTCGTGTCTAATGATTTGTAGACATCAATGTTGCTGTAGGGGGGGGGGGGGGGGGGAGGAGTATCTATAGGCCAGTTTCACAGCCAGATTAATTTTTACTGCAGCCTTGAATTTTTACTGCAGTTTGATGATGGAGGACGATAATAATCCATCACAAGTATTGTCAGATGTCAGTATTGCTGTATGTAGAGTGCTGGATTGAATTTGGTACAGTGGCTATTATTGTTGCCATGAAACAAGCTTACTGCTTCATTATTACGAAGCAAGGAAAGAGCAGCATGTGCCTGACCTTTGAATAGTATAGGTGCTTTCAAAAGACACATTCATTTTCAGATTTTCTTTAAGCTGCTCCCTTCACCCAAAGCTCCTATTGCTAGTAACAGCTATTTTGAGACATTTTTTTTTTGCCAAAAGGATAAATACAGCATAGGGTACATGTGTAAATTGGTGATCAACTGAAGTCAAAAAAAAAAATCACTTTCCTGTGTTACATTTATTATACCTTCACTGAATTTGGGCATAAAGGCCGGTGTCTACTCAGAAATACAGTGATTTGAGGACAATTGATCTAGAGAAATACTGAAGAATGACACAATCAAAACCACTGTGTAGCAGTGCTGCTGAAAATTTGGCCCAATATTTCTGTAGTTGACACATTCAGCATGTAATTAGCCTCAAATATTTCACCTCTTTCTTCCTGCTTTTTATTAAATACATAGCCTACACCTTGATCTTAGGTGTAGTACAATAGATAACTGATTCTGAGAGGAATTGTAATCATTATAATCATTGTGTCTATCAGCTTATTTTTTTTCCCGATTCTTCCTGTCATTTTAGTCGGTGGAAGTAGTCCCAGGTCCTATATTTCCCTAACTCAGAAAAGCAACAATTACAAAAACTAACTCAGTCCATTTCTATACCTTGAAAGTTTTACTGGTAGCATGCAGCCACCAGTTTTGATGCAAACAGCGTGCACACTGCCTATGCTCACAACATGCATCTTCACAAAGAGTCCAAGACATTATGGATAAACATCACCATTCACTTCCTCACAGTGCCCTGTCTGAGGCATTTTTGTAATGCCATGCGAAATACCAGTAGTGCACTAAGAGAATTATGAGAACTCAGAGCCAATTTTGCACAGGTACTTTTATTTTATCTGGTAGAATTCCATTTTTCTTGGGTTTGTTTAGATGCTTTAGATATTTCCCTGCACCTCCTCACTCCTTCCAGCATCTCACATGCAGCTCCTCAGCAGACCAGCAGAATTCTTTTGAGACACAGCAGTTGAGTGGGATATGCCAGGAGAAATTCAGTAACTGCAGCAGCTGTCTGAATAGTGATCAGAATAGGGCAATCTAAGAAAAGTAGGTTATATATATAAAGCATGAAAATCACCAATTCTTGTAGGTATTTATTATCCAGAAAGACTACCGTGCTAGGTGTGACTGAGCAATGAATAACTAAATTTGTGGAATGAAAATTGCAGAAAAGGTGTTGTTTATGATAGGGATATGACCTGACTTCTATATTTGAGTGTAAAAATACTCCTTGAGTACAGTTATTAAGTTTTATGAGCATTAATGAATTAGTGAGGTTGTGTCACTAATGTGAACACTGACTGCTCAGAGGAAGTAAGTAAAGCCCCCATCTTCAGAGAGACAGGACTTTAAAAAAAAAGTTATGTTTGGGAGGTATTTTTCTTGGTGGGTTGTGGGGTTTGGTTTTTTTTTTTTTTTTGGCAGATTAACAGACTAGCAGTTATTCCTGAGGGGCACAACTACAGCCTCATAAATCCCTATTCCGGATATCATGACTACTGCTAGAAAAGATCTGTTTTGCTATACAAGCAAGTACAGGATGCTTTTCTTATGATAAACGACAAGAAGAGTGATGGGGTGCATCACGACAAAGTTAGCTCTCAGTAAAGAAAATATTACCTTTTTTTTTCCTTTTGTGTGTTAAATGTGGCATAATATATGTGCGAAGCAAAGAGGGAAACCTGATTATCAAGGTAGAGAGTGAGGTTAAACACTTTGTTTTGAACAGCTGTCAAGATGCTATATAGCTGAAAGCTTCTTTATGGTTTGTCACATTACAGCAGTGTGTCTTGTACGTACTTCTCCCTCTATTTGACTTGCATAGGGGTTTGAAATCTCTTCTCAAATGCATATTCTGAATTCTGTAGCAGTTTGCTGGCTTGCTGTCTGATATTTCTGATTTTTGAACACAGATGCATAAATCATTACCCTTTAAAGCCCCTCTTCCAAAATTTATTGGATTATAATTAACAAGGATCAATTTAATAAAAGCAGGAGCACTTTTTAAAACACATTAAATCTAACCAAAATTATTATGACATTTAAGAGCAAAGTGCAAGGTGCTTACTGTTCCAACATTAATCATGTGCCAGTATGGATGAGATTCATTTCACCTCACTATAGCCATCTAAAAATAAGTCATCGCACCTCATCTACTCACCTAAATTTCTATTAAATCAGTGGGTAGAGACAGGAATCCCCAGGGGGCACATCAGCCCATTCCCAGACAGGTGAGATAAACAGACACCTATTTCTTACCAGTAAATACAGACAGAGCTAGATGATGTGAGATAGAATCTTCATTTATTTGTCCACAGATAATGACCTTGTGCCATTTGAGATCACTTATGGTACCCAAGATATCCACGTGGAGGACGCACGTGTGGCCCAGGACTGACCCACGGAAGACCCTTCCACAGTGGCAGCTGGAGAGGTAGACTGAACTGTGAATAATTTGCAGTTCCTAAAAAGGCACTAAATATGTGACTGTTGCCTCTGAATTATGAACAATGACTATAAAAGAAGCTCAGGCACATCTAAGTACCAACGCTCACCTCAAAGTATGTATCACTGCCACACTGTCTAAAACTGGTAGGTTTACACAAGGAAGTAAAACTCAAAGCTGACTGAAAGTTTCCCCATAAAGATAATCAGAAAAATAAGCAGGCCAGAATCAAGAGAGCATGATGCAGGGCCTCTCCATCCCATCTGCCTGCTCTGGACATAATGCGGATCTGAAGATCTATAACCTCCAGCTGAAATTATTCCTAGGGAATAAGTACGAGGATAGTGCAGGGAAGTCTGAAAAAACATATTATAAGCAGTGCTTATCACTATGGGTATAGGTTGGTGAAGGCAGATTAACAAAGTAGCTTGACATCACCCTGGCTTGCATGATGCCAGCAATGGCATCAAAAGAGAGAACCACAAAGTAGTTTTGGAAGACGAGCATCCTGCTGCTTCGGTTGGCTTCCATTCCTAGTCCAGGAAAGGGTCAAAGACTTTCTTCCTAAACACAAAAATGGGATTGTTAGAGGACAAAAGGGACATTCATGCTTAGAGAAACAGACAGTCTACAAGCAAAGAACTGTTGTGGCTTCCTAGCTTCCCAGGCCAAAGCAAAGTGAGCAGTGTGAACCACCCACACTGCCTTTACCATATCCCTCTGCCTCGATCCAAGTACCGCAGAAGAGTAAATTGTTCTTGACTTGAGCAATGGGACTTGAAAACCAAACCTCTGCAGTCTGCAATCTTCAATTTACATGTTTATCTTACACGGTTACCCTTAATGTAGGCTGACTTGGCACTGGATTGTTTGCAACGATAACTTTAAAATTTTTTACGTTCTTTTATATTTATTCTTGGGTATGAGTTACATCAAAGGTTTTCTTTATCCTTATGTCCCCTGCCTCCCACCACCCTTGCCCTGCTCTCCAAGTACATTTTTTCTAGCCATGGCTGAGTTTCCTTCCATCTGGCCACCGACAGCTCCTTGTGATGTTTGGGACCACTCCATTGATACAGAAAATGGCATTCAGTCACAAGCATGGCGCTGGACTTTCTCCTGTCTTCTCGTGAATTCTGGTAGAATGGGTCATATGTCTGTCACTCTTTCTAGATCATGCCAGCCATTTCTAAGCTGTTCTGGGTGTTCCAGGGACAATGACATCCTGAGCAGCATGACTTAAGCTTGTGACAAGGGTAGTCACGGTAATCACTGTAGTGATTGCATACCCAGAGGACTGTTGCTAAAAAGCCATTTTGGGAAAAAGGTGCAAGACAACGTTTAACAAAGAGTTGACCATGCCTGCATGTTGACCCATCTTACAAGTGGACTTCCCTGTCTCTTTGAGAACCCAATGAGATAGCCTCCCTAGCACCCCTACAACATGAACAGGAAGAATAGGAGACTCCTACAACCTCTGCAGTTTTGTGCTACACATCAAGAATAAATTATTCTAAATTATTTTTTTTTTCCCATAGGCAATACTACTGAGGATTTTGCAATCTTCCCTTTGAGGTATTCCCAAAGGTTGCATTCCAGTGCAGTACCCACCCCAGCAATGGGCACAGGTAACACTGGGGGTTCTGGTTTTCAGATAAGGGTAAAGCCAGGCTTTTAAATAACCAGACTGTAATCTCAAAGGCTTTTTTTTTTTTTTTTTTTTTTTTTCACAAAAAAATAATATTCACTTAGTTGCCCTCTCATCTTCCAGCTCAAATTTCATTTTTATCCTCTGTAATATATTCTTCATATTTAAGTTCTCCAAGTCTGTCTTCCTTTTAGTTTCAATATCTTAGTAAGCATATATGCATTAAATGTGCTTTTATTTTTTGCTTTATCCTTACCAGAGCTGTAAGTGGGAAAAATATTCTTGTCCGTGTCCAAACCTCAAATGCTGTTCATTAAACACACGCTGTGTCCCAGTCTGGAGATAGCAGCGCTTCTCTGAGAGGTCAAGTGACAACTGTATGTCTGATTTAAGTACACTTGGGATGAGAAGTGGTGTATATATGTTGTAGTGTCATAAAATGTTAGTTTATACTTTTTTTTTTTTTTTTATATTGTAGATTCATATATCAGTATTAGAAGTTGTAAAACAGTTCAGCATACATAAGAAGAAAAATACGTTGCCAGTATTACCTCCCTCTCTGGTATGTGATTGTTGAAACAAAGAGGTCTAGTGGAATGTTTGGCTCTTAAAATTATGCAGCTATGTCCCACAGAAGCTTAGCAGTTATGGCAGGGCAGTAATTGTATTTTGCCTGGGAGTTTTTTAAATTATCCGGGCACCAAAAAAATAATGAAATTTTTTAAGTGGTGGATTCAGTCGGGGTTACGCAGATATGAGCAGTCTCTCTTCATTAGTGTTTATATCATGGCAGTGCCGAGGGACATCAGCGGCGAGCAGGGCCTGATTGTGCTTGGCACTGAAAAAACAAGGTGGAGTTTGCTTCAAAGAGGCCATAACTTAAATATACAAGTACTGAGAGGCGAGAAGAGTGGCACCACATCATGTGGGAGGTCGGGGGCTGGGGCAAGACCCCCCAACTCCCAAAGCTGAACCCCTGTAAACCAGATTGCTTCTCTCCTGAAGCTCTTGTCTTCATGTCACAGGTGCCTTTCTAGCCAGCTTGTGTTGTTTTTTTTTTTTTCTTCTAAACCTTTAATGTTCTGCCTGTGAGGTAGACAATATTGATTTAAAAAACAAAACCAGAAAAAAAAAAGCAAGAAGGGTCTCCTTAGAGCTGTCAAAGTTAAACTTTGAAATGATTAGTCACTTTCCATCACAGCCAGTACAAACTACCAGCATTTCTTAAACATTTCTTTTAGCAATCAGTTACTTGAATAATTAACTCCCATGACCCTGCCTTGTCATTTACTGGTTAACATGGTCAAATGCTATCATTAACTTTCAGCATTAGATGTGCTTTCTCATACTTTCCACTGGCTGATGCAAATGCCCAGGCTTGAAGCTCACATTTCTAAATGTAGAAGAGGGCGAACTCTTCAGCAGCCTCCTCCTGCGCAGGCAGTTGGCTCTGGTGCCGCCACCTCCATGTTTGCTGTGTCTTCTCAGGTCCCTTGTTTCTGGGCAGCCGCAGAGGAAACGTGTCGGGGAGAGAGCAGAGGTTTACCTCGCAGTGGCCCTCCTTTATCTGCAAAGCCAGGAAGCTGCACAAATCCCTGGCACACATCCACCTTCGGCTTTCTGAGAAGCTGATAGTGTGTCCCAGCCTGTGTTTCATTTAAAGAGGCAGACTGTTCGGGGTGAACGGTTATGAGTACAGAGCTCTGGGGCATCACATTTGCCTGGATTTTTTTCTCCCATCCAGGGAAAAATGCAACCAAAGCAATGGTGGGGACTTTGCATCTGATTGTGACTAACAAAGTGATAAGGGCTCCTTGGGATGTTCCTGAGAACTCCTGAGTTCTTTCCTATGGGACCAAATTTTGCAGGTCTTCATCCAATGGGAAATTTTGTCCTGGAGACAAATACAGGGTTTGGTCTGAGTGTCCAGTTTTCATTTTGCACTCCTACTAGGAATAGGGTGGGAAATTGCAACACAGCAAGCTCCCTCTACCCTCTTGATGCACAGGCAATGGCAAAATAACATCAATCTCAAAGAAAGATTTATATTCTTGTCCTTTTAAATCCCTACCTTGCATTACACCATTATCACAATACGTAAGGTAATGGCAGCAATTGAACGAGTCATGGGAGACTTTCACTTAGATTTGATCCAAACTTTAAAAGCTGCCTACTCTGCATTGCCACAGCGTGGCATGTTTTTAAGCTATAGAAAATATGCTGTGTTCAGCAACATCACATAATGTTAATTGCTGAATAATCTACCCCGTGGTCCTCAGTGTCAGTGCTGTAGGTGACAGGCAGGGTTAAAAACTGAAACTCTGATTATTAATTTTGTCTGTCACTAGCAAAGATAATTCTTTGATTATGGAGGTTATTAGGGAGCTTGATTCAGGGACAAAAAAAAACCCAAACTTTTCAACTCATCATAGTGGAAAATACTGAAACTGCTCTTTGGTACATTTAAGAATTCCTGCACTCCCTCTAGTAACAAAATCTAAACCAAAATCTAACATGAAGGGAACAGGTTTACTCTGATTCCAGAAGTGCTGTAATTAATGTATCTGGTTTTCATGCTGATAAATGGGGTCTGTCAGAGGGTGGTAATTAATTGTTAATAATGTGAACTACTCAAGGTCATTTTGCCCTTAGGTTTTTGAAGAGTTCTCCATAACCAAAACTGATACTGTAAATAAACAAATTTGATTTGCTACACATGTGATACAGGTATGTGTTTGTATCAGTCAGCTCCGTTCCCCTCCCAAAGCAGACATTTCATTTTGATTTTTGATGCTCTGGCTACTGCCCTCCCACCCTTTGTTTGCACTTACTTATCTGTTGTGCAAATGGCCATGTTGACTCATACTGCCAGGGCAAAGCTACCCTGCCTCTCCGCAGGCAGGAGTGATCCACAGTCTGAGGTTGATGCCGGCATCCATTGTGTGGGTGAAACACACCCCTTCCTCTGCTTTAATAGTCTCACCTCTAAAATTAGGGTCTACTTTGTTACTGGAAGGGCCTACAAAAAGGACATGAAATGTTAAAATGAGGGGGTGTGTTTTAAAAGCGATCACAACACCAGGGAGAGAAAGAAAAAAAAAAATTTTTTTTTCCTAAAACACTAATCTCTGTTCTGCATCTGTCTACTCATTTACCCTCTGGTAACACTGTCAGCTCCCCCTTTCCCAACAGTTCTCTCTCTCTCTCATGGAAAAACTGGGCAGGAAGAGGTCATTGAAAACATTCTTGGGGATTGAGGCTACCAGGGCTTGCTGCTGCACAATTACGCAAGCAGACCCTTTTGAAAACAACTTTTAAGAAGGAAATAGAGAGCTTATAGTGAACAAGTGAGAACAGTACTTATTGTAACTGTGTGCCTAATACTGACTTTCCGGCCTTATACTGGAATAAATTGAGCTGCGCTAACTTGTAGCTGAAGGACATGAAACTGAAGAGAGGAAAAAAATTAGATAGCTATTTTTATGTTCATCAGTTTAGACTTTATTCTGTAATTTAAGCTCTTAGTAGAGAAAGCTAGGAATTCTATAAAATATGCATTTAATAGTGAAGAAAACAGCTGTGTGAGCATAGGTGGCAAACCCCAAACTTCCACTTGTTACACAAGTCATTTTCCTGTGAACACTTTGGGCTTTTTTGATTTAGATTTTGTTTTTAACATGGGTTTCTTTCGAGGGTTTTGGAATGGTGAACTTAAAGCTGAGCTAGGTAAACACAGTTATGGATCCTGAGTAATCTTTCATTGCCAATCAAAGTAATGACTTTCTTTCGCTTGTTCTTTTTCTTTCTCTCTCTCACTTTGATTTATACCCTGGAGTTTTGCTCAGTGATTTTTCAGAAGCTTCAGAGAAGTTAAAATAAACATGTTTAGTGCTCAACAGATTCATCTTCTCTTTGTATTTTCCCTCCAGTTCTTTGCCACGTTCACAGAGCTGCCGTGAAAAATCTCTGCCTCTGAATGACAGCCCCTGCCATTCTCTGAAACCATGGCTGTCCCACGCAGAGATGCCCTTCTGGGGCAAGTTTCTCCTGTGGAAGGGAGGCAGAAATGTGCCCTTAAAATCGTCTGCCTATTGTGTTAGGAAACGTGTCTTATCTAGGTCACTGGTCAAGTTATTGCATCTGTATGCGCAACCATCAGGACTTGGCTGAAAGTCTGCTGGGGATAGTGGGAGGCTGTGCAGGGACAGGGTCCAGCTGCAAGGTCAGGGGCTCAGTTTGGGAAATACCTCCGCTATTGACTCTGCATGTCACAGATACACCTCAGGGAAAAATGATATGAAATTGATAGCTCCTGGCTCTAACATGTATTTATTAAATTCTCCTCTCCTTTTTCAAACTCTGTTTTTTGGTTTCATGTCTTACCTGTTCAACACAAGTTCACCACACTGGCTGAAAATAATATTACATATGCTGGATCTTTCACACTGCTCAAATATATGTCTAGGAACACTGAAATTATTTTTAGTAAGAACTATTTCATGTTTGCAACTGATGGCTACAATTGCAACCCACCTTACTGTAATAAACAGATTGAAATAAGTCAGAGGGGCTACTTAGCATAAATGAGGGCAGACTATTAAGATAAAAGATTACAGTGATAACATTTCTTTTTAAAAGCTGTTATCTTTGTTAAGTTATATTACAAAAAAATCAGGGATAATGTTTAATAGACAGAGGGTGCAAGCTGCAAGAGTGGAGCCATTATTACACTGCGTTTCTCCAATTCTCTGTAAAATAATTTCAGATTAAGTTTACACCACTGCCACTGTGTAAAGCAGGACTAGGAAAAAAACAAAACAAAACAAAACAAAACAAAAACAAACCCAAAAACTCCTCAGCTACTCACAGCTGTGCAGATGTCCCTAACCAAGGCTGCTTTTACTCTAATGCCTTTAGATATTAATACCAGGGAAATCTCCAATAATTGGGTAGCTGCCACACACCCACTTCCGTGGATGCCTCTCTCCTCTTTTTGCTTCATCTGGTTTATGGCTCCTTCGCATTGTTGCTCTTTATCATTAACAGACCAGTGGCATATTGCACTCCCAGCTGGTACTGTGCTTCCCTGTCTATATGCCTTCATGTGAAAAAAAAACACTGAATCAATGCCTTGCCAACGTGTCTAAAGATTCAAAAAATAACCTAAAAAATGCTGACATGTGTTTGTTTTCTCAAAACAAACCTTGTGCCTGTAATGTTAGAAGCTCTGATTGCCTGGGGAATTTCTTCCTCTGACTGTGTGAAAGCTGACAATAAAAAGAAATCTTCTTACAGGGAAGTCTTTCTTTTTTCTCTTCATCAAATTGTTTCACTGTGAATCAAGGTTATAACTAGAATTATGAAGCAACAAAAGGAGCCAGGGCTTTCATTCAGGCTCTGTTTCACCTTGAGTCCTCCTGGCCCACCTCCCAGTTTCCTGGGACATTCCTGCAGCTGCAGAGGCAGCGAAGGCTCTGCCTCTGGCTGGGAGGAATCCCCAGACCCAGGGATGACAAAGGTAGGACCCTGGGACACCAAGGATAGGACTGGAGAAGTTGCTGCTGCAGGACAAGGCTGAAGGGGTTAGAGGTGCCTGGAAGACTTGGGGGAAGATGCTTCCTTCCCTCTCCATGGGTCCAAAGCAGATGCTGGGGCTTGATGCCAAGCAGGTATCACTGTAATAGGAGAGAGGGGGGGAAAAAAAAGAGTATGTAAAAAAGCCTTCATCTCCTGTATCAACTAGCCCTGCAATGGAATGAAATATTTTCATAGAATCATTTAGGTTGGACTGTTAAGATCATCAAGTCCCACTGCAAACCTAACACTGCCAAGTCCATCACTAAACCATGTCCCTAAGCGCCACATCTACACGTCTTTTAAATACCTCCAGGGATGGTGACTTGACCACTTCCCTGGGGAGCCTGTTCCAATGCCTGACAACCCTTTCAGTGAAGAAATTTTTCCTAATATCCAATCTAAACCACCCCTGGCACTACTTGAGGCCGTTTCATCTCGTCTTATCACTTGTTACTTGGGAGAAGAGACTGACACCCACCTTCCTACAACCTCCTTTCAGGTAGTTGTAGAGAGAGATACTTTTCTCCAGACTGAACCTGTCAACTTGTCTTAATCTAAAACGAAAAACCAGTGGGTCTTAGAATGATCTAACTTTCTGGATGGCATCAAAGACAGAGACTACGTGTGCATTGGCATTACATATGCCAATATGTATATACCAGTATATATACTGATGTTTGAAAACTGGGCACCAGGGTCCTCTCCCAGCAGTGTGACTGCGCAGAGGGAGCTGCAGTGCAGTACCCCCCGACCATGGGCCAGCTCTGGGGGCCACTGGGAGCCAAAGGGCTTGGCAGCGGCGGTACAGGCAGTGCTGCCACCTCGGGATCACCCCAGCCACTGAACCGAAGACGGTATAGAAAATGTCCTACAGGCTTTGGGGAGCCGCTCCTCCGGCATGTATACAGCATCCCTCCCTTCCGCAGGGCATTGCATCCATACCAGCGCTGCCCGGGCAGCTTGGGGGGCCGCAGAGAGCCGCCGGGTAGAGCGGGGACGTCGTCGCAGCTGCTGGGTGATGGTGTCTCAGGCCAAAAAGTTACTGGTATTTTATGTAAAGCTCATGTGACTTCTTGTGATTTCATCCGAACCCTTGCCGTGCAAGGTCTGAGGTGGAAGCTTCTGTTATTGCTGGCATTTTTCCCATAGGGTCTGACATAAATCAAGAATTGAAAACGAGGTGGGATACCCAAGGCTTCTAACTTGCTTTGCAAAAACAGGGTGTAATGTGCTGAAGAGGGAGTGTCAGGCTTTGGCTTTCTTAAATTTCCTGGCTATTGTTGATTTATATCAGATCCTTAAATCTCTTTAAAAACAGTGTTTTGTTGGTATTTCCTTAGTATAAATGAGTGAAAAGGATGACATATTTCATGGAAGCTTATATATGTATTCTTCTCAGAAAGACCCAAAGGGTTCTTCTGGCATCAGCACATCCATTAAGCAATTGTTGTTAAGATGCATAATATGTACCAGGTAGACTTTGTGGCTCCTAGAGGTTTGTCATGCTGTCTTCCTTTAAACAGATACCTATGGTATTTTGTATATGGCATATATACAAAATTTTATGTATTTATACTATATACCAAACCATGCTCCATAAAACTCTCTGGTCTCTCTTATAAAACACTTACGTAGGATATATGCCATGTGTGGAAAAATTCTGTACCAAATTAGATTTTACAAGTTTTCATGCACGCTCATTTAGATGATTTATCAACCTCACTATCAGATCTTTTAAGAAATAAAAGATCTTTCAAAGCTACTGAAAGGAAGCATATACCATATGATTAGTGCCAGTGCTTGCTTTTAATTAAAACTGCCCTGAAATAAAACAACAATAAAAAGCATATGAAAATAAGTACCTTCGGAGCCATTATGCTAATTCCTGTATTTCTTTGTTCTTACTAGAGGCCAGTGACAATTCAGGCAGCAATTCACCAGACATCCCTTTTTATCAGTTCACACTGGGCCTAAACTAACGGTCCTTCCACTTTTTTTTTTTTTTGTTTTTCTGAAGTGGAGATAAAAGCACAGAGATCTGCAGGTGAGAGCTGAGTTCAAAGTTCTGCCTCGGTGGCTGGAGGCAGGGGAAGCCGGGCAGCAGCCCCGGGCACTGGGGAGTCCCCTCCACCACCCCCGGTGATGGTGATGCTCCCCCCACCACAGCGATTTGGCCAGGGGTCAGCCAGGATCTCAGTCCAACAGCAAGGGCTCAAAAGCGGGGAGGGTAAACCACAGCAAGTGGCAGAAAATAAACCACGGCAAGGCTTCCTTTGACCTCTGCCTCGCTCACCTGCAAAACCATCTTTTCCAGAAAATGCCCTGGGAAGGCGCTGCATTGGCATCATCCTTTCAAGGCCTCGTGAGCAGATTCTCCCTCTGAAGAGCACCAGTTTTCAGCTCAGCTCCTCACATGGGTAGCTTAAAAACGTCCCCATCAAAGTGCAAGCAGCATTTACAGGGAGGGCAGTGCTCTGACGCTGTGCGGTGTCCTCCCTGGCTGCCTCCAAGGGTTGCAATGGCGACTATAAATTCTGGGAGTATTTCTGATTTAAAGCAAGCAGATTTCTAAAGCCAGATTGTGCCTTTGCCACTCACTGATACCATCATCAAATCACTAAGCACATGTTATGCTGTGCTTCTTAAACCCGAGACACGTGCAGTGGTAAGTCAAAAAAAAAAAAAAAGAGTCTAGAAACAGTAACATGCCAAAAATGTAGGATAAGGCTCTGTATTTCAGACATCTTTGTTCTTATGCTGTTTTATTTTTTATTCTTTGTACTACTAAGAATGAGATTTTTCTCACCAATTAATTATATTTTTTTCAGGACATGCAACTAAATTACCAGAAACATCATGATAGTCATTTCTCACTGTCTAAAAGAAGTAAAATTCAAGTTATTACAGAATGCATCCAGCAGCTACAGAGAAGATGCTGTTTTGACTTGAAGGTGCAACAAAAATATTGTTTCCCAGTAAAAGATAATGACAAAAGCTAACCAATACCAGCTGGGGGGAAAAAAAAAATAAAGAAATTATTTGAATTATAGGGAAATATTGTTCTCTTATTTTAAAAAGCATATGCACACACACAGGATGGGGGAGCTAGGGTATACCCTTTTTGTAAATGAAGAAGATTTACATTTATCTAAACTGAACAGTATGAATTCCCAATCATATGTCATAGCCTAAATCTCAAATAAAAGTTGCATGGATTAAATTGATCAGTTATTACAAGTTAAATAACCGGAGGAGAATATTAGTCAAAAGCTTGCTCCCACCAAAGATTTGATCTATTGTTTCTGAGACAAAAAGAGACTTCTTGGTTCTGAAACAGGCCCTGGAGACATTCAGATATTATTTAATAGGAAGAGAGTTTATCCTGGAACTGACCACAGTGCATGAGAGTGACTGAGCAGGATGAAAGACTCCAACAGCAGAAGCACAAGGTGGTATCTATCACTCCAACCTTTTCATTTCCCAGCCAGACATATGGCTGAATCTTGTAATTTAAATGCAGATTATCTGTCCCAGCAGGAGTGCCTGAACATCCTGGAACCAGTGTCACGTTTCAGTAGGGGTGTCAGTGACTGTTTCATGTTGCATCATCTCAAAGCATTTTGTTCTCTGCCAAATTTAAATCTTTTTCATGCTTTCAAAGGATGGGTCTTCCTTCTACAAATGTTTTTTACTCTTTTAAGGAGAAAACATTCATTTATGTTTTTCTGTGCTACCTGAAAGCTAGTTTGCCTCCTATTTACACGGGAGGAATGAATCTCCCCATTTACAGTACCAGGATGGCTGAACTTCAGAGTGTTTGGCACTTCGGTCTGGGATGGAACTGCAGTGTACAATACAATGCACAGTGGCGAGCTGTATGCCAAGGCCTTTTGATGCAGACACATCATTTAGCTGTGCAAATAAATACAGGGGTTTCATTAAAAATCAAAGTCAGTAGGTATATGAGTATAGGTATAGTGGTATAAGTATACCACTATAGGTGTATAAGTATTAGCATATGCAATTTTTGGACAGATGTTTTTGAGGAGCAGGCATTAGGAGCAACACATATACCTTTCAAAATTATATTGGGACTTGGACAAAATCCACATGCCTAAATCCCTGGGATCCAGACTGCCTGCTCTCCAGCACTGTCTAACCCACTAGACGTTTACTCTCCAGAAACATCCTGGTCTGCTGTCAAATCCCTCAAAGAAAAGTTTTGAGCTGGATGAGATGCAGCCCAGTGTCAGGAAATGCCCCACGTCTTTTACCTACAATCTGTTGAACTCCAGACAGACCAGATAAGATGCCCAACCTCTTCTGAAATTCCCAGGGAGGCCTTAACCTATTGCACTCAGCTTTCAGGGTCTTCGATGTTATCCACCTCACCTTGGAAATGGGACAGTTTTTGAACTGTCAGGCTTTTAGGCTGCAAATCCTAAATACCAAAAGAATGCTTAAATCACAGTGTTGGGGATATTTGTAGAGGGAGTAAGCTTTGCTGCTGCTCAAGTGAAGCCACTGTGTAGGTGCCGCAGGAAAGGTCGCATGGACAGAAGGAGAGCAGGGAAGAGAAAGCTGCTCTACCTCAGCAGCTGTAACGGAGAAGTGGAAGAGGGGAATAAGGTGGACAGTGTGGGCGTGGGACTATGGTTGCTCTTGGGGGCGGTACAGATGCTACAGGTGGCACAAAAGGCTGTGTCTGATGTGAAGCTCGTATAGAAAGACATGGGCGTCCCCAGGGGCACAGTGATGGTATGGCCCAACAGGTATTTGTTCTCAAGTCACATCCGTGCCCGTAACCGGGGCGCAGGTCCAAACACTAGTGTGTGATCAGCCACACCGCTAAATCATTAGTGTGGTCTTCTGGTGCTACACTGGCAACTGTCACCTGGGGTAAGACCACATCAGGTCTAGGGCTGATGTGAAAAATACAGTTGTTGACATGGCAAGGACAAGGGAGTCCCATCTGCAAGGACTTACTTCCCAAGTGAAGGAGGAATGCCATGAAAAGGCTACTTTTTAAGCTGGAAGTAGGCAGCAAATTACATTGGAGGACCCAGGAGACGTGACTGGATAACATAGCACTGTGACAGAACAGGATTCAACCCAAGCACTGTAGAGGAAGCCACGCTACACACCTGATCTTAATAATCTTTGTATTATGAGATGGTGGACAGAAGAGATAAATAGAAACACACTCTGAGCTTACCTTGATGGAATACCATTACCTGATATGTCCAATCAATTAAACTTCTGTTTTAGCTCATGTGCAATGAAGTAATTAATTTAGATAATACTGAATCAAATGGGACATATCCCAGCATAAGAAATATTCAAGCTACAGTAAATATATGCGCAGGGTAAAAGATATGTGTCTCAGGAAGGTTGTTACTACATTTATTATCTAGATTAGTATGTGTGCTGCTATGGAGGGCAATTGCATGCGTAAAGGATTTACATCCCAAAGACGTACACAGAAATGGCACACTGAGAAACCCATCAAAACTTATTTCAAGCAGTTGTGATGTCTGTATAAAGGTGCTTTGGTTCTTCTTCCATTGCATGCTAGAAGAGATAAATCCTTCCTAAAAACTTGCATGCAGAATGATTAGTGAGCAAAACTGGAGACAAAGGCAAGAAAGGACAATGTAGGTGCTTTTTTTTTTTTGCCATTACTGTTCTTCCCACTGAATTTCCAAATGTCTCTAGCAAAATGTATTCAATAGGTTAGAAATCAAGGAGTGTTTCCGCATTTTCTCGTACTCGTTAGCAATTGATAGGAGAGACGCCAGGTCAATGTTTGACAGTCTTCTTTCACAAGCGTAATCTTAAAATCTCTGTGTTTTAGAGAGAGATTTTGACATGCTTGTTCTCCAAACCCCTGGATTTCAGGTTTGTCTTTGCATATTTTGGTTTAAAATCCCTACCAAGGAAATCATCACTTTCTACACCTCGTAGGCCTTGATACTTTGAAAATCTGATTTAATGAATTTTTCCTTTTGCCTCTCACCTAGATAAAAAGCCTTTAAAAAAAACCAAAACCAAAATGAACAGCAACAAAAAAAAACCCAAACTAATGCCATCAACAACACTAACAAACGTCCTGTCTCTGAGCACAGTTAGTAAGAATATAGCCTTAGTGGTGTTTAGCCTGCAAACACCCCGTGGAACTCCACAACCATAGATTCTAATTAAGGGATTGACTTTTCAAGAAAGATTAAAATAACGAAATGCATTTAGCTATGCTAAATGATGACAGGGAGGGAATAGGAGAACCCTTAGCAACAATAAGAAGATTGTAAACACCAACAATGGACAAAAGCTGTTTAAAGGAAGAGAAAGAACACTTCTAGGCAACAAGACTAATAAGGAATAATGGATGTGTAAAATAGAATAAATAAGTTCAATGTTGATTATTGATATTCTTATTATATTACAACCTTTGAATGAACACAGGAATGTTACTTGTCAAGGATGGATTTATTCATGACCAAGGGAACTGTAAGGGCTCTGATTACCTTGTTAGCACGGCCAAACGTAATATCTACTTTAATGTGAGAGGCTGTACCACTGTATGTCTCCCTCATGATGAAAATGTTTGCATCAGGTCTGCTTTCTAGGTGGCCTTTGTAGAAATGTTCACCAGAATTAACATTGAAAGAACCGCGAACCTACTTTATCGTTCAAAGGACCAGTGGTGGAGCCACCACCTTCACACTGCAGAGATCAGAAAGGCAGTGGCAGCCATCCAGCTTGGTGGGCTTATGATTTTGACACTGCATCCAAGGACAGGAGGTGTTCTGTTGCCAGCATGAACTTAAGCGGATCCTTGGCTCCACCATTAGGATTCCTTTGTCAAGTGTCTAACCAGCTCAGTGGAGAAGACTGAAATAAAGCTGAAGTTTTTATAGTCTTGACACTGCTATTCAACCCTGCTGTAAGGATTTCTCCTAGTTGCTTCAGAGAAACACACATTTTGGGGTTAGAAAAGCTCCAATGCTTCTAAGAAAACATAGCCTTTAACTCATTTTAAAAGCCAAACTCAACATTGTTAAGCATTTCTAGGTTATCAAGAGTGAGGCTCAGGCAGAACTCTAGTTGCAGTAAATTCTAATGCTAAAAGCTCTCATTAAAAACACTGTAATGTAACCCATCACTTTTTTCTGGGTCTTGGTAGAGGAAGAGCATGCTATTATTGCTGAGAGAGGTAGGGTCACCGAATTAACCTGGACTATGTCCATCAAAGCTCTTGTAGAAAAGCATAATGACTTCCACTGAATTCTCAGGATCCAGAGATGGAGCCAATACACAGTTCTGGCTGTCCAGAGTTAGAGGTGAATCCACCAAGACTCTGAGATTGCCTTCTTCCTTGGTCACCTGGGGACAGTTCCAGATGGCCTCTCAGGGGGTTTCTTTTCAGACAGAAAAATAATCACTTTTGCCACATTAATTTAACATTAAATGCTCTGCTCTTCCTCTGGCATGTGGAGTCTCCAGGTGGCACCTTCCCTCCGTTCCACAGTCAACAGAGCTGGGGATGTGTACTATTATATGCCATTCTAATGTGATGATGTTTTTATCAACCTTTCCCAGCAGTTATTCAAATAGAAAGATAATGGGATGTGAGGTTTTTTTTTTTGTTCCCCTGTTGAGGATGCACACAAACGTAGAATTACAGTGCCTACCATGCAATTGTGATGGCATGTGATAGCAGTGTTTCCAAATAGTCTCTCCCACAACAAAAGGTCAGCAAGTAACCACTCAGACAGACAAAATGACAGACTTCCTTTCTACCTGACATGCAATCTCCCCAGAAAATTAAGACAGAAATTACCAAGTACATTTGTAAAACATAGAATGAGAGGTGTGTGTACAAAACCAATTAAGGAAAGAATTGCTTTTTGCTACTTTTTTCCTGGTGCACTCTTTTGGAAATTTACCTCCATATACTAATTAACCTTTGGGTGACTTTAAATTAGATGGCATTCTTTGCAGTATTGCTGTGGTAGTGTAAGTGATTTAAAGTGATGCAAAGTGCTTTAAAGGTAGCCAACAAAGTTTCTTTTTAATGTATTACACTGTAAAGATGTTGGAATCATCAGGCTCTCTTGGAATGAGAGATAGATGAGGAGAAGGAGGAGAAAAGGTGAAAAGTGATGTGAAAAATACTGGGAAGATACGGAGTTTATGGGTCACATCCCCAGCTTGATGAATGCGCCCAGGACCACTAACTCAATGTAGGTGTTCAAGTTGACATAAACTCACGACCTGGTCTCATACATTGAAAATAGATATTAAGGATATTAACTGGAGCCATAGAGCCCTTGGCGATCTCGGAGAAGTAATTTCAGTAGATCAGAGAGTATCACTTAGGAAGCCAGGTGATTGGCTTCCCTTATGATGGCTTGATGTGCAATTAGTTTTCCTGCGTGTCTGAGACATCAGGGCCAAAGTCTTGTGAGGAAATTTAACTAAGGAAACAGTGGCCAGATTTATAAAGATCTATTGTTACACTTAAAAGATTTCAGAGCAGAATTAGCCTAGATGACACGGTGTTACCCACAAACACCCAAAGCACTTGGGACAGCAAAGACATGAGGAGCGACCCTATCAGTGTCAAAAGATCTGGAGTCCACACTGAAGCCAAGTGTGCTCCTGATGCCCATGGAAGTGTTTGGCATGACAAAGATGTCAGGTGATGCCAGTAAAATTTAGAAACCTATTTTAAGGATGAGATGAGTCAGACCCTAAAGGTGAGTATCTTTCTCTATTGGAGAGGGTGCAAGGCTGATTGGTCCTGATGTAAATGCCTACAGTCCACATTTAGTCAAAAAGATCCCAGTCTCTCAGGCAAGCACAGCTATTATACGGAGTGGTGCTGGAAGATGAGAGTGGTAGGAGATACATCATCTAGGTGCTTGCTGTGTAGTATTATTATTATTCATAACATATATATTAAAGCATTAGACATTAAAATGTACTTATTACGTATTGTATTACATGTCATATATATATTCTTGTCAGGATACTGACGCATCATTTCAAAAATAAAACAAAAGAGAGCTGATTCATGCCCTGGAAAAGATAGCTAAGGTGCTCAGTTCAAGAGAGTGCCAGCCTGTGACTCCCCACCCCATAAACCTACTGCCTTGCAGCCCATGCTTAGGCTCCCTAGGTGCTGAGATGGGGGAAATTCTACTATATAACTGGTTTCAGTCATTCTTCCTGGTTAGTGTAAGAGGCTCCCTGCTCAGTACTCTGGCTGTGGTGAATCCCAGGCACTCGATTCTCCCTGTAACCTATACAGAATGGGTGTTTCACACTGCACAGTACAAATTCATCACTGGGAGCCTTCAAGTGATGTGCGGGGAAACTCAGTGTTGTCACGTTGGCTGTGGATGTAAAGTCAGATGTCTAGAAGTTAAGAACAGTAGCAGCTAGCCGGTAGACTAGCAAATTCTTCTGGATTTGGCCTGTTGTCTGTGAAATGCTCAAACACTTGGAACAATGCCAAACAGCTACCTGGTTCACTGTCTGCATTGAACAGTAGATATTCAGGCTGAGAGATTTACTTCAAGGCAGGCTGGGGGGAAAAAAGGAAAATTTCAGAGAAATATTAAGGGAAAATTATATCATCAATTACATCATAATGGCATTTGGCAACTTTGCATGCTGCTAATAGATGGGGGAGTGAGTTTTCAGTATGATGAAGAGGCGGGCACGGTGATAGCCACCATCACGAGAGATTTCCTCCTCAGGGCATCCTGACCATCAAAGTCTCTCCAGTTCCTCTACTGGAAGAGCAACGTGCTTAACATCCCCCCTCCACTCACCCTTTTCCCAATAAACCTGTTCCAGGTTGAAGAGGGGGTACGTAAAACTCTGAAAGACAGCGAGGAAATTTCTAAGATGCTGTTTCCCTTTTCTACCTCCTTTTAGCCGAAAAGAGATGCTCAGTCTGCAGGACCTTCGGCAGAGCAGGACCAGGGCTGCTGTCAGGGCAGTCTCCGCCAGAGCCCCTCACTCCGCAGTGCGCTTTCAGACCTCCACCCACCGCAGGCCGGCATTTATTCACGTCTCCGTTGCAGAGGCAGGTTCCCCTCCTGGCTCCAACACGTAAAAAAGAGGAGTGGAGGTCCCTAAGGCTGGGGATGTGAGATGGTCATGCCTCGCAGTCAGCCCCAGGTTTTCCAAGGACAGCATAACTTTGCATTGCTACAAGAGGTGTACCCAAGACACAGAGGCCTGGGAGGGGCGCTCCTAATAACGCTTTCAAAATGAAAAGAAAGCTTGTTCAGAGAAAAAAATGCGGCAGACTAAGGAAAAAGACGGAGCTGCCTTTTCTCTCTACCCCACAACTGGCCTCATGCTCCGGTGTGTTTCCATGGAGCTGTTGCTGTCACTGCATGGCTCATGCTGGAGTGTCACATTGGATGGGAGCCAGCTCAACAAGAAAAATAAAGTGAGTTTTTAAGAGGTAATGTGGTAAATGTTCTTCTCAGTCTGGCTACCAATATGTGCTGTCTAGCCTGAGGCGCGCAGCACATATGGGTGAAGCTACTGAAGTTTGGTACTTTTAACTTCTCAAGTCACTTTTTACAAAACCAAAGGAGACACATTAGACTAATTGAGGAAAAAAAAAAAAAAAAAAGAAAGAATAAGATAGGTAAGGAGAGGCAAGGCTGAGCGATCTGATCTCAACAGACTGCCACCGCCCATTTCTCAATTCTTATTCTGGTGCTTACAGGCTTTTGCATGTACCAGGGGGATTTTCCCTGCTGCCTAGGCACTGGCAGAGTGGGCAGCTGCTGGCAGCAGCAGACGGCCGGGGTACCAAAGCGCCCCGGCCGTGCTGATGGTGCCCAGGCACGTGATGTTGTCCAGGGCAGCGGCAGATGCTGGCGTTTGGGCCACCTGCCTGGGGCAGTTGTAATGGTAGCCCTGCCCTCCCGCTCTCCCAGCAGCTGCTGGAGTAGGCAGCCTGGCTCCAGCTCCTCCTTCCCTCGTGGAAAATCCAGTTTCACCTCCACCTCTGAGGCTTGAATGAGCTCTGGTGCTGGCTGCTCTGCAGAGAATTTGGCCAGCCCGCTTGTGAGGGCTGTGCTAGAAAGGGCAACTTTAAAAGCAAAACATAGGTGATGTCTGCTCTCTGGAAATCTGCTCCTCTCTTACTTACGGCCTTTCAAGACACTTCAGCAGTCATTTTGTGGTGTGCCCCTGGGCTTCTGGGAGAGCATCACAGCCTCCTCCTCTTTTTCCCATCTGTCAGCTCAGCAGCGACAAAAGGGCAGACTGGAGTTTCTTTCAGCTCATTCGATTTCTATGGTTAGCATTTGCCAAGTGCTCAACCATTTGTAAAAATCATGTCATCAGTTGTCATTAGAAAGAGAATTGATAACTGGTATTTACTGAGCTTTGCAGTCACTCAAATGAATTCATTCTCTTAGTTTAAAAAACAAAAACCACACAAACAAGCCCAGACATTATGTAGGCAATTGCTACAATACGACGCATAGGTTTTTCAGCTGTTGGATTGATACCCAGTGGCACAACTATGGTTAATAAGCTGTGACATTCCCCATTTAAAAAAAACTGTATGTCATTAAAAACAACAACAAAAAAGTACTCATCTGAAATGTGATATGTACAGCTGAGTCCAGATGAAGCCTCTGAACGCTTGTGAGCCATCAACCTTTGATCCAGAAAGCATACGATCCAGAAATCACCACGACTGTGATGCCATGACTGTGATGCCCAGGTGCAAACCCGGGCATTTCAGGCCAACCTAAAGAAATAACAGAAATTTTGAAAAGAACCGTTTTCAATGGGTCCCATTTCCAATCTGATTCTGAATCTTTCCCACTCTTGAGGCTGGGTAAATATCTCCCGAATCCAAGAGCTTATGGTAGCAGAAAAGCCAAGTTGCATGGCCTTGAAATCAGAAGTTATCAACATGAATGTCTCAGTAACAGAGGAAAGCATCTGTAAGACAGGGTGGAAAATAGGAAAGAAGGAATGATGAGTAAAGAAAAAGCATCTAAATGCTTATTTGTTTGGAGATTTATTCTATTGTAATTGATTTAACACCTTCAAAGAGAACAGAGAACTTTGCTGAATTAAAAACAGCTGGGGAAAAAACAGAATTTCTTGAAAATATTTGTTATACCTAAAACCTGTCAAGGAAAGCATGAACGATTGCTATGATAATATCTGCAAAGAAGACATCCCAGATGTTTTTGGCTGCCTACTCAGTACGAAATCAGATCCATGCCCAGCTGATCGTGATCCTTTGCTAACCTGCCTGCAGAATGCTTCTCAGTCCTGTGCACAAAACCCGGCCATTTCTGAAACAATTCTTCTGGCTTTGAAACTGCTCCTCCAGCTCTTTCATGTGCAGAACTTTTTTTGTAGCCTATGAAACCCATGCACAGGGAACAAATTAGGTATCATCAATTTTACAGTGGAATGCAAAATAAGCAGGAGCCACAGAGAACACAACGCAGTGGGAGTTACAGGGAAAATTTGAAAAGATTGTCCCACACCATGTCTCTGTCTTACTAAAAGAGAATGTAATAGCTTTAATGTTCATATGAGAATAGAGAACGCCTCTCCTCTTCATAAAGCACTGTTTAAGAGATTCCTTTTTTTTTTTTTTTTTTTTGTCTCCTAAACAACCAAACAACACTGTTCAATATGTGAAGCTGAGATAATGGAATTGAACATGGAGCTTAGAATGACGTAAGAAATTTTCTCAGGACGATTTTTAGCTTCATAAATTCAACTACAGAGTCTTGAAATGAAAATCCAGAGCAACTCATTCTGTTCCTGGGTGTCAAATTATCACGGTGTCCAGAGTCAGGAAGTACTTGTCTCCATTTTTTTTTCTTACAAAAACATTAACCAAACACTGGAGAGATGCAAAAACCAAAACCTCCTTCTTTCCCAGAACATGTTCCTTGATGATCTCCTACTCCCTATTAACTTTTGCCAATGTGGGATTATACTAAATAAGGAACTGACCCTCCTGTTCTTCTGCCTTTTAAATAAGATCATAACCGTTCAAGGCCTTTTGCTAAAAGAAGACAAGTTTAAAATTTAAAAAATAATAGTGCATGTTCTCAATCCAAGGTTATAGAAAGGGCACAGAGCTTTCAGATCAAGGGAGCGAAGCATTAATACTGTGTGGGTCCACTTTCCTCGAATATATGTCTTGGCAACATTGCTAGTCTAAATCTGGCAAATTGAATATTTTGATCTCTGTCCCTGGAGAAAAACTTGCACCTATTATATCAGATTATAATTTTCCTCTTTTGTGCAGTGTAATTGAACTATTCTCCGTTGTCATAGAATCATAGAATACCAGGTTGGAAGGGACCTCCAAAGGATCATCTGGTCCAACCTCTCTTGGCAAAAAAATTATACACTTTATTGGATCAGAGAGGCTGCATTGTGTACACTAACACTGCCATTTGTGCACCGAGCTAGGTGTTTTGTGTTGCTTTGTTTTAAGGAGAGTGGGCTGAAGGGGAGATGGTTTCCTGATTGTCTAAGAACGAACAATTGGTTTATACAAAGTACTGAAAAGATACAACTGTGGTGTACAAAAGCTTCGACGTTTATACCCAAAGGAATGTTACTGCTGATGTTTGAGTGACTCACGTGAAATATGATAGCACTACTTGTTGTACTTCCACAGTTTAGATTGACCATTTTGGTTAATGGCCACCTAGAAGTTGACTATAACCCCCAGTATTTTAAGGCAGAGTGCCCTGCACCTTGAAACACTTTGTAAGTAGATTCAAAGAGACAGAAGCTGATGTCCCTGCCCAGAAGAGTCTGCAACCTCATGCTTGATGGCTGCTGCCCGATAAAAGGGCAAGGCCCATGCATTCATATGGAGTTCTGAGTGGAGAAGGAGTGAAGGAAGCACTTGGCAGATGATCACAGGCTGGATTGCAAGACAGCAGCCACACCCCCGAAAGGCTGTATCTGCTGATGTGGTCAATTCTTTGGCAAAGAAAACCCATTTCTTTGCCTGTATCCAAAAAGGAAGGCTTGTGAAAGGAATTAGTAACACAATCCCTCAACTGCAGGTATTTGAATTGATTATCTGTCAACCCAAAGGTTTCCCGAAGTTCAGCAAATGAACACAATCTGTCTTCTAAAATATATCATGTAATTTGTTAAAGCTTTTGTCTAACCATGCATCCCAAATAAAAATGCATTTAGTTTTTGGTTTGGGTAGTAGGGTTGATTTTTTTTTTTTTTTTTCAGTTTATTTGGGTTAGAAAATTGAATACAAGCTGAAATGGAATAAACAATAGATAACTTAAGAGTGATTTTTTATAACTGGTGTTAATTTAAATGACAAAATCTCTCAATATTCAGCACATTACTGATTTATTTCAGATGTATCTTTATGTGTTTCAGGCTCACATTGTTAAAATATGCTATTGATTTTCTGTTTTCTTTTGTTCTGAGGTTCCAGTGTGCTCTCTGCTGGTGATGCCATTCCCCATTTTGAAAAATGATTGATTCATTATCATAAAATTAAAAAAAAAAAAAAAAAAACAACCAAGACTTACAACATGCTTAAGTTAAAGGTAGAAGTCAATAAATTGCTTTCAAGAGTATTATTTATTTGCACATTTCCTGGATTAGGATCAAAGATAAAATGCAAACAGGACAGTGGATATTGGGGAAGAATGGGGAAAAAAAAAATCTGTATTGGTGGAAGATAAATATAGGAGAGGCGAGAGGCTGAGTAACATTATGGGGAGATTTTATAGGACCTTCTTTTTGGTAAGTTTTAGGAAACTCCATTAGGGGAAGAACAGCTATGGAAAGACTGGAAAGAGCCATCCGGGACTGTAAGTGGTGGGACTTGATAAAAGTGAACTAGTAGTACTGCTTTGTAGGCAATATGGCAGAGGTGGAGAAGGATTACAGAAAAAAGTCTAAAATATGCACATAAACACACTTGTAGAGCTTATGAAAAAGTAACCAAAAATGTTCAAAGGGGCCGATTTGTTCTCCTGGCTTCCAAAAGTAAGTTTTTCTATTTTTAGAATCGTATAAGGCAATATGCTGTTAAGGCTCCTGTTTCTAACAAAATGACATGCTGAAGAGTCCCATTGATTAATAGGAAATGTGATTAAAGTTCTTTCTTTTAAGAAAACAATGGAGAAAAAAGAGAACTTTCTAAATCTTTAGAAATACTTGATGTTTTCAAAGTATTTCTGTGTTAAAATGTGTGCCGGAACACTCTCACATAGACGATGTATGCTCAGCTTTGTTAAGCTAGATGAGAATGGAAACAGAGGGGTCAGGTATATGGAGTGAGCCAAGACGGTGATTTAGTAGGACAGGTTTTCCATAAAAGCGTGTGATTGAGAACTACATTTCTCTATAAATCTGTGGTATATATCAAATACTAATGTATAATATCCCTACTTCTGTATCAATCTATTGATATATAATCATGTAATACGTTTCTCCTGCGAATGTAGCTACATATTTTTTGCTTCAAATACTGCCCTGCAAATTCATGCATATGGGTAATAGTTCTTAGTAGCAGGCAATAGACCATGTAAACAGCCAACATAGCACATAATGAAGCTCACAGAGAACAAATTTTATCACCAAATGTTAGTCAGCCAACCCGTCTTCTAGATGATTTCCTTAGATATACTGGATAAATGAATAAAATATTTCTAAGTATGACAAAATAAATATTGATGTTTTTAAATATTTTATCTGAAATTCAATGGAAATGAGCTTCACTTGCTTCTCAGGGCACGGCAATGTGTGTAACATGATGTTTCTCTGTTATGCACCTTATCACACCGTCTACATGCAATCTTCTTCCTGCTATCACTATTCATTTTTCATGTGCCAAGTATTCATTAATCCTTTAACCTCAGTCAGTAGAAACCAGTTTTTCTCTGCAGAACACTCAACACTGGGAAATCGTTGTTCCCTGTTCCAAGTGGTTAAGAAGGATGAATGTTAATACATCGTGTTTTTTATTGATAAATCTGAACATAACCTACGCATCTATCCCGGGAATGTTTCCAGCAGTGTTCTGTAGTAGCCTGCTTCCTATGGGATTGCATAGTTTGTCTTTTAGAACAAGTGTTACAACATTAACTTTTGACTCGGGCAAAATCTTCTGAAATCTAATGAATCACATATGTAACTTACGGTGAGTTGTTGGAACTGGTTCTGTATCTGAAATAATAATATAAGGAAATATGTTGCTTGGGTCATTAGACTGTATTTTAACTCTATGCTCACTTTTCTCCAAAGTCAATGATTACACTAGAGGCAAAAATATAATAGCAAATCACACCTAATCCCCTTTATAGCTTGCAGAGACATGTATTTATATAGACTGCGAGGTAGACTTCTGTTTATATACATTTTACCATTTGTTACTCTCTATTCTGCCTTTTATTTTTTTTTAACCTTGTGAAAATAGAAGTAAGGTGCAGGGACTGCGAGGTAGACTTCTGTTTATATACATTTTACCATTTGTTACTCTCTATTCTGCCTTTTATTTTTTTTAACCTTGTGAAAATAGAAGTAAGGTGCAGGGACAAATAGTGTGTGTGGGGGTTATGTTACCTAAACCATTTATGCCCAAAGGCAGCAGAGGACCAGTTACAGGGAGAACCCACGGAGTGATGCATGGATTTCAGGCAGTTCGCATGAAATCCTCTAAGGGAACAAACATTGGTTCTGGTTCTTCTGGCTTCCTCGGTGAATACTGTGTAGAGCAGCAAACATTAGTTTGTATTTACTGAAAGTAATAGCGTTTTAGCAGTAATTATTTACCTGAGCTCTGCCTGGCTTTGTGTGTAAATACGCAAGCTGTACAGGCTTTTACAAACACACTCATGTGACGGGCCAACCTAATAGACATGGGATCCCTCTTTTTGCATTTTATTTACCAAAATTATTGTTATGAGTAGGATCCTCTGGAGCTGCTGAGCTGAAGTTGAATTTGAGGAGAACGTGGGGTGGGGGACGCATAAAGAACTTGCCATTTTCTACCTGCCCAGACCATGGCTTTTACCAGTATATTCACAAGGTTCTTAAGCTTCCTTAAATTGAATCCCCCCCAGAACATTGCCCAGAAACCATCTCAGCAGCCAGGGCTGGTCAAAGCTCACCTGCACTCTGGCCACACCATGCGCCACGAACCATAGGGGAGGAGGCAGAAAACAGCCACATCAGCTTTAAATTAACAAAAGACTCTGGAATACAAGGGAATCCCTAGGTAACCTGTGTAGGCCAGCTTAATAGCTGTGACACTGGTCAGGCACTGGCCAGGATCTTTCCACAAAAATATTTCACTGTGTAAACACGTACGTGTAAGAACAGTTTTGAAAAGAAGTGGAGATTTGCTTCTTAAAGTTTAACACTGACTCTCAGGGTTTATATTTTTGTTTCCTAAGGTTTTTAAAGTTCTTCTTTCAAAACAGCCATGTTGGAAAACGGGTTTATGCTTTAAACCAACCTTAGGATTTTGGAATCTGTTTCTCCGTACATTGTTGTTAAAGACTTTAGAACCTTTAAAATCTCCAGCCCTCACGTGTGAAAAAAATCTTCCCATAAAGGAAGTTCTGTTTGCAGAGGCGCGACTCAAGACTTACCCGCTGACCTCCATGCAAAAAAAAAAAAAAAAAAAGAAAAAAAAAAACACCTCACATACTTCTCACAAGTGTGTCTGTGTGAAGTAAAAAAAAAAAAAAATAAAAAGGAAGACGAGGCAGGTTTGCAGAGCTCAGCCCCGGCCAGCGCGCCAGGTGCCTGCGGGCAGAGCCGCCCCCGCCGAGGGTCCCCTCAGCGCCCCCATCGCCTCGTCCCCCCGGGGCTCCCCTCAGCGCCTCCTGCCTCGTCCCCCCCACGGGACGCCCCTCGGTGTCTCGACCGCCATGTCCCCCCCCGCCCCCCCATCCCCGGGGCTCCCCTCAGCGCCCCCCATCGCCTCATCCCCCCTCAGCGCCCCCATTCCTCCCGCTCCCCGGAGCTCCCTCACACCCCCCCGCATCCCGCCGAAACCCCCGTTAACGTGTGTGTGTGTGTGTGTGTGTGTGTGTGTGTGTGTGTGTGTGCGCGCCCCCGCCTGCCCTCAGCACCCGGGGCCTCCCCGCGGCTCCCCCGCTGCCGGCCCCGCCCTGCCCCTCCCCGCGGCGCCCCCGGAGGCCTCGGCGCCCCGTCGCTCTTCCCCCCCCCCCCCCCCCCCGCGGCCGGGCGGGGCCGGGGCCGGGGTGGGGGGGGGGGGCCGGGGCGGTGCGGCCGGGCGTTCCCGTCACCACCCCCCGGGGCGGGGCGGGGCGGGGCGGGGCGGGGCGGGCGGCGCACCGGGGCGGCCGAGGGGCGGGGGCGCGGCCCCTCCCCTCCCCCCGCCCGGCTGCCGGTGGGGGCGGGGACGCGCCGCATGCCAGCGACGCCACCGGCGCCCGCCGCGGCCGGAGCAGGGGCCGGGAGCTGAGGGGGGGGGGGGAGATACACACCCACACCCACACCCACCCCCACACCCACCCCGGTCCGGACCGGGCCCTTTGTTTGAGCTGGCCGGTGGGGGTGTCGCGGCGGCGGCGGCCCCCCCCCACTGCCCCCCCCCCCCCGTTAGGCGAGGCGAGGCGGCGCCGGGAGCCTCCCACCCCCGGCCCACCCTGCCCGGGGCTCAGCATGTGACGCGGGTAAGTCGGCGGCGGGCGCCGCGGTTCCCCGGGCTGCCCCCCCCCCCCCCCCCCCTCACCCCCTCACCGCTCCCCGGGCACCGACCCTCGGGCGAACGGACAGACGGACGGACGGACAGACACACACACCGGGAGAGCGGCGACCCTGTGTCAGGGGAAGGAAACTGTTCCTCCTGCTCTGCCGCTTCTGCTCAGGTCTGTGCCGATGCCCTTTCTTATCAGAATAAACGGCGAGCGTGTATATTTTTTCCTTTTTTTTTTTTTTTTTTGTTTTGTTTTTTTTCCTGCTGCTGTCCCAATCAGGTTTTTTTTTTTTTTTTTTTTTTTTTTTTTTTTTTTTGTTTAATCGCTCCTCTACCGAACTTAAATAATTTTAAAGAAAAGCGGGGGCAGGGCGCATCCCCCCCGCCTCCTTCCCCCAGCGCCGCCGGGGGTTAACGGCGTTGCCCCCCCCTCCCCCGGTGCCCGGCGGGGGGGGATGTGCTGGGGGGCCGCCCTCGCCGCCGGCCCGAACTTTTCCCTCAACTTTCCCGCTGAGGTTTGAGGGTGGGGGGGGGGGAAGGGAGGGGAAGGGAAAGGGGAAAAGGGGGGGGGGGGGAGCGGTGAAAAAAGCGGGGGAAAAAAAAAAAAAAATAAAAAGCGGTAGATGAGCGGTGAGGTGGGGAGCGCCCGGCCCTTTGTGCTGCCGTCCCCGGGCGGGGGTGCGGCCCCCCTGTGCCTTTGGGGGGAGGGGGGGAAATGTATATATATAAAAAAAATTAATATAATTAAATACCGGAGTGTAACGGTCTATGGGGGGGAAATACCGGAGTGTAGCGCTCTATGGGGGGTGGGTGGGGGGAATAAAAATCAAACTGTAAGGCGATATTACCTTCTACAAAAATAATTCTCTTCCATAAAATAAATACTCGCTCTTCCAGAAGTCGGCCGGCGTTGCTCGGGGAGCAAACCGCTGGTATTTACGCTAAAAGCGTGTGCCTTGGCATCGGCGTCACCCTGCGAAGCCCACCGAAAGCTTTCCGCTGCTGGTGCAGCCGGGTAAATGCGCTGGGATGAAATTTGGGCTCCTATCTGCCTCCACCCCCCGCCCTCCCCCCCAAAAATCCTGCACCGCCCCGTTAGGTGGTGCGGGATTTTTGGGGGGTGGATAGGAGCAACCAGATGGGTTATTTTATATTTCCTATATTTCTCCCTCCCTCTGTGGCTTGCAGGGGTGTGATGCTCTGCTCCAGATAGCGTTTTTTTTTTTTTCGGATCTTGGCATGGCATTTGCTCCTGCGTGGAATATCAGACATTTTACGTGCTTTAGGGAGCAGGTACAGGCAGTTTGATAGGAGGTACGGAAGAGAAGTTCACTTGCATCGGGGTTTATATTGAGCTTGTAAAATCCTGCTAGCTTTTGGCACTCCCCCTCCCCCTGAATAAGTAAGTAAACCAGTTTATTTTTTTATTTATCCATCATAAAATAAATGGTATTCTTCTCCTCATGTGGTTTGGTTGGTTTTTGTTTTTTTTTTTTTTTTTTTTTTGCTTTTCCCTTTCTGGCTCGCCACAGCAGGTAGATATCGGCAGCAACTTTGCAGGGCTGCTTTATACGCTGGCATATGGGCTCCATTTTCTGCTTTCTGGTTGGTCTATAACTCTGAAATGTACAGGAACAGCAAAGTGGTTTTAGCATGGGATTAGTAACTGTGCTGAATAGGTCACAGATGGGGCGATAGGAGCGTTTTATTAATGACGTAAGGCTGCATAAACTGAGTCTGCTTATTTTTTTTTTTTTTTTAAATAATTATTCGTGCTTGGGGGGGCTGGGATATCTTTCTAATGGGACGTAATCAACTTGAAACCGCTGTCTGCAAGCTAGCATGTCACCTATCATCACAAACCGGCCACGCATAGCAAAGGAAACGTTGCATGCGGATTTTTTTTTTTTTTTCCCACTTTTTAATTTTTTTTAAATTTTATTTTATTCATTTTTTTTTTTTTTCCCCCTCCCCGTGCTGCCCGAGGCTTTGGCAGCCGGTCGGAGCTGCGGCCCGCCGAGCTGCCGGCAGGTGCCCGGGCTGGAGCCTGGTGGGATGACATCACCCGCTCGGCGCCGGGGACCAGCACCCATGCGCACCCCTCCCCGGGCCCGCACCCCCACCCCCTTCCCCCACCGCATCCAGAGCGACAGTGGTGCTATTTCCCTTCCTTTTTTTTTTTTTTTTTTTTTTCTTTTCCCTTCCCTTTTATTATTTTTTTTTTTTTTTCCACCTCTTTCTTTACCTGTGTCTGGTACCTGGAAGTGGGAAGGGGGGCGGGGGGCAGCATGGGGAGCACCTTTCTTTAGGCAAATGTTTTCATTAGGATACTGGCAGCTTTACAAGGTGGCTTGGGCTTCTCCCCTGTACCCCACCCCCCCTTTTTTTTTTTTTTCTTTTTTTTTTCCCTCCTGAGTAGTCAGTAGCATTTAAAGAAGGCTGAGAAAAATCATACTTTCTCTTTTATCCCCCAACTGTGGGGGAAAAAGGGTTTTTTTTGAGGGGGAGATATGCCGTGGGGCATTTGAAGAGTGATTGCATGTGTGCTGGAGAGGCTGGGAAGGAGTTTAGGATGTGCAAGATACTGTTTGCTCTCTGTTTCTGATAGTGAGGCAATATCAGACGTGTAAAGAAGGGGGGATGGGAAATGAGGAGTTTTTTGTTTTGGTTTGTTTTTTTTTTTTTTCCCCCCCAGCAATACTTCGTGTTAATATTTTCAGGCCTTCCTGCGTTCTCTTGTAGAAAAGCCTTTGCTGGAAAGGCCCCCGAGAGCCCAAAAAGACTGTGTGGAACAACTTTTAAAAATAAACTTTAAGATTCCAGCACAGGCTAATCACAGAGTCCTCTGCCAGCTGTTTCTGTTGGGATAAGCCAGACCTGAATGTGCACGAGCAGAGTTTTACTTTGGACGAGAGGAGGCTGAAATGTGGTGGGGCTGAACCAGCTCTTCTTCCCCCAAGAGATGGTCGAATGGGGTCAGCGAAGGGCTTGGGCTGCAGAGCCCCGTGGTAGTGACCGTCTTCCTCTTCACCCACCATAATCAAATGGAAATACTGACCGTGTTTTTGAGGAAAATGGGCGACGCTTCTCCTTGGGTGGTCGGGGGTTGCAGGTGGTCTCCGTAATTTGGTGCAGGTTTCAGTGCTAGAAGGGTGTCCTGCTGTTTAGATTTGGGGTATTTTTTATAAACTAAAGGAAAAGCGTGTGCCTTTTCTCATCGCTGGGTGGGTGATGCCTTCCTGAAGTTGTAGTGCTGTAGCCTCAGTGCTTCAGGCTGCTGGATCACCTCTGCGAGCCCTGCGCGGCCGCCAGTGCCGCTGCCCGGGTTGGCCAACCTCCTTGTGTGTTCCTTCAGTAACTGTCATTGGCATGGTGTGACAGGTCTTGTCCGTACAAGGTGGGGTTTTGACCAAGCCTTTGCTCGAATCGAGTAAAATATGAGCCTCTGAATGAGGTGTTTGCATATTAATAAAGCTGGGGAAATACTTATTTTTACTGAAGTGTTTTGCTTGTGGCTTTTGAAGTATTGTATCTTGATTTATTTTGTTGGAGGATGATTGTGGTTTGCCTTTCCTTGACATGACTGCAAAACAAAACAAGAAATTAATTTCTCGAAATGGAAATTTAATTTTTAGAAAAACTGAAATGGATGCAGGACTGAGACTTTGACCTTCTCAGCTCCTGACTAGTGGTTGTTTACTACAGCTGCAGCTGTGCGTCTCTGAAAGAGGAGGAGCTGCGAACACAAGCATGCTCACTTTCCCCAGCTAGGAGGGAAACATATAATGAGCATGCTGTTTCAAAATGAGATGTAAAGAAAAGTATTGAGCAGTCAGGTTGTGGCTTTTCCTTTCCTTCTGTGCAATGTGTACTGTGCTGTGTCTGTAAGACAAATTTTGAATCTTGGAAGTACAAATCTGAAAGCATGAAATGACTACACTTCCTATGCAGTGAAAAAGAAATGATTTTTTTTTTTTTTTTAATTAAACACATGCTTACACTAGAAAAGAGAAGTGTGTTTGCACTGTAGTACTAAGGACACTTTCAAAATTGTGCGTTGATGGAAAAAGATACCTGTAACAGTACCCTCTGTTCAACAGCTGAACTTTAGACAGAACTCTTCCTTCAACTGAATGATTTTTAAGTTGGTACTAAATGAAAAAAAAAAAAAAAAAGAGCAACAAGAGTTATATTTGAGGATACAGTGTTAAAATGATTGTTTTCAGTTTACAGCTAGGCATAGAGCTATGTTGACAAACTTGACTGTAGTGTTGACTAGACCTGATATTATCTATGTGTCACTGTTGCAAAAGTGGGTAAAATGGGACCAATGTGAAGGCAGTTGTGTAGTCTCTCAGTGTTTATATATATATATATATATATATATATATGCACCCCTTCCCCCCCGCCCCCCGGTGCTGTATTTACATTTGGAAGGTTTTTTCTGTGCAGAAGGTCTGCTTAGACTTCGTGCCCTAAAATCTGTGAACTTTCTCATACTTATGCAAAGTTTGGTGTGACTGGTAGGTTTGAAGTTTATTTGGAGTCTGTGCTCTTGTGTTTGTTCCTGAGCAATAACTATAATACAAAAATGGTAGAGTATTCTAAAGAAGTTTTATTTACCTTTTGGTGGCAGAGAATTCTTAAAATAGTGCTGAGACAGGGAAGAGGAAAAATGAGCATGACTTTGCCAAAAAGTCAGTATATCTACACTCTATGTAACACTGAGCTTGTGTAGACTTTCTTGAGGATAGTGTAAAATCTCGTGGTATTAATCAGAATGCATGATCTAGACTTTTGTCTAAACCAAAATCAAATTATAATATAGAAATATTTTTTGCATTTATGTCTACTGCAAAATGATGTGTTTTGTTGGGAGAAGACAACTTTAAATTATGGTGTGCCTTGGTCCTATAAGTATTTCTGTAATTTCCTGCATTTTTGGGAAGGGATGGTGACATGAGCCATCTCAGTATTTCTCAACTGAAATATATGGTAAAACTTGGGAGTGAATATATGAAGTCATGTGAAATATATTTAGGGACTGGATGCTTCATACTGACTGTTTTTTCATGCACTCCACATCTGTGCACATCAGCTCCGGTGTCAGAGGAGCCCATTCAGTTGCAGGTACAAGGGTAGGGCTTGTTTAGGTGGTGGCTTGCTGATTTTTTTGTTTTTCTTTTAATTTTTTTAATGTTCAGTATAATCACAAGGATGCAAAAGCTAAGGTAGATCAGAAGTAAAATTGTGTGCTAGGGTCAAGGGGGATCCCATAATTAAGGACTATTGAAAATACATGCTCAGTGATACTGAATAAATTTTACCAAGACTGTTGCACACTGGCATTTCTTACCCTCTGACTGCAATCCTAGCAGTGCCTGTTTTTGTTTTGTTTGTTTGGTTTGTTTTTGTGTGTGTTTGTTTTTTGTTTTTTGTTTTTTTTTTTTTTTTTTAAATCTTCGGGTTTGTTTATTTGTTCATAGATTTATTTATTTTCTTTCTTGAAACAAATGCCCTCGTGCAATGGTGTTTATCCTTTTGTGGGTCGCCGGTGGTGCTGGTGTTGGCAGGCTTCGGAGTTGCAGCGCAGACCAGCACCACTTAAGGAATGTCTGGTTAGCAGTAGCAAGCTTTTGTCCTCTCAGTGAACCAGCCTCCAGGACGGCGATGAAGCACGCTCTTTGCTAATGGCTGGCATGGTGTTTGCTACGTAGCAGCGTAATGATGGGACTCAAAAATCCCAAGCTTTGTTCTTGGCTGTGGGGCGAGCGTGTTCTCGTCGTTTAAACGTAGAACAATCAAATGCATGACCTTGGACATCAGTGCTGCAGAGGGGATAATTAATCAGATGATGTATTGTGTTGGGAGACCTGAGTTCGGGTCTCGGTTTTGTCAGATGTCGCCTAGGACAGCCCCTTCATCACCTGCACTGTAAGGTGGCAAGCACTGACCCTAATTCCTAATTAGTGTGGGGTGTTGTCCAGTGGTCAGAACTACAGAGACCACAAGGTTATGCATGCTAATGCTGATCCTCCTGCTGACTACCTAAATAGTT